GGGCCCTCCACTGGATTTCCCTGTTGAAGAAGATCCTGGATCACCCGAAATAGCTCTGCTGGACAACATTCTGAGGAAGCAATATGGCTGGAGACATAGTGCCATTCCGCCAGCCGTATTGTCGCAAAATAGGCCCGACAATAAGTCGTGTTCGATAGGACTCTCAGCCGGATTTCCTCCACCTGTACTCCAGCCATCTCCCTCTTGCTTCATCGCCCACAGTTCAGAAGTATACCAAGGAGCTGTCTGGGCTCTGCGTGCAGGGAGAGAGTGCTTAGGCACAATCGTGTCAACAGCCGGAGTCATCTCCCTATTCCATAGAGTGACCTGAGCTTCGACAGGAGCGCCGACCATATCAGACGGATAATCCCCCAGAGCATTCAGAAAACGATCTGGATCCAGCAGTCTCTGAGGGTGGATCATCTTAATAGATCCTCCACCCTTGCAGAGGAGAAATGTAGACTAAACTTGACCAGGAAGTGGTCTGACCATGACAATGGGGTCACAACCAGCCCTTCTACATCCAAACCACAATCTTCAGTCCCATTGAGAAAACCAGGTCCAAGGTATGGCCCCTTCTCATGTGTTGGGCTGATGACACATTGAGACAGCCCCATGGTTGTCATGGCAGCCATGAAGTCCTGACCCACCCCAGTCAAGGCAGCCTCGGCATGGATGCTGAGGTCCCCCAGCACCAACAGCCTGGGAGTCCTCATCATCAGGTCCGAGACTACCTCCGTCAGCTCAGGCAGGGAGACTGTTGGTACACAGCAGGGTGGGTGGTACACCAACAGAATCCCCAATCTGTCTCGTAAGCCTAACACACAATACAGGCCCCCAAGACCTCCTCTCAAAGGGATAGGAAACCTGGTCAAAGAGCTAGAACTCCTATAGACTATAGCAACTCCCCTCCCCCGGCCCTCCGAGCAACATTGGTGCTGGACTTAGTACCCAGGTGGACACAGCTGAGAGAGGGGACTATCACCCTCCTCTCCCACCCAGGTCTCAGTAATGCATGCCAGGTCAGCACCCTCATCCAGAATTACATTCTGGATGAGGGCAGTCTTATTTTGTATTGACCTGGCATTCATCAACAGCAGGGTTTGCTGATATGGTCACCTGATACCATCGGGTTTTGGGTAGGACTAGAAGAGGGGATAGATGTAAGATATCTAACCTGTCTTCTCCTACATGGGCATATTCTACCCCCACTGCCATTCCTTCCCCTACCCAGCGCCACCTCAATGGTTGCCTCCTCCAATGCCCTCCCCCCTTCCTGTTCCCTCAGATACACCGTGGGTCTCTATGTATTTAACCTGATGGCAATCAATCACAATAAAAACCCCTTCTAAATCCCCTTCTCCCCTCCGGGCCAGGTGGCTGATGTTAAGGAGAGGGTGGGGCAGCCAGAGGCAGCGAGGGCCCAGTCCCGCAAGGCCGAGGGAGTCCAAGCCAAAGTCCCCCAGGAAGGCTGGCAACTGGCAGCAGCACAGCCATACTGTCTCTTACTCAGTGCCTGAGGGACGGGAGATGATGAAGACTCTCCCGAAGGCAGGAATGTTGGTTCAGAAACACACCATATCAAAAATGTTGGTCCAGAAACATGCTTCATATAAAACATGTCTTAAAAACAAAATACAAAGATTGCAATAGTTCTAACAGGTTTTGCAAGATAACTCAGGGCAGAGGGAAACTGCAGGATCCTGACCTTTCTGGAATGTATTAAATGCTCTCTTTCAGATTTCCTTTCTTCCCACCTTAGCAAGATTTCTTGCATATGAAAATGAATGCTGAATTCAGTAAAATTTAAAGTGTAATACTTTTAAATGTCTGTTCCCTCCTAGTCCCTCACCCATGGAAAAAAGCAGGAAAAATGTGTGGACTTAGAGAGGCATCCTCTGCAAGCCATGTTTGGCCAGTTGATGTGTCCCATCTTTATCGTCCAGAGATAATATTGTGTCTCTTACTCGTCTCATCATCTCAACACTGTCATACTGGGTTTGAACATGCTTGCTGGCAATTTGATAAGCCAGAAGTGGCTGTTTTAGAGCTAGCTAGCTGGCTTCTGCTGTTTATGACCTCCCACAGTTGAAGCAATGTTGCAGTATTTTAATTATAAATGTAGAGTCAAAGGTATAGTACCTGGTATGAGGAACAGCGCCTTGTCTAGTACTGAAACGCACAATCTTCCTTTCTGGACATATAGGTTAGATATAAAATATACATAGTCAATGTTGAGAGTTCCATGATAAAAAATAATAATCCCTGGTCCTTCTGGTAGATGTTCCATTCCTATAATCTCATAATCTGGAAAATATAAAAAGTGCACAAACAGAGCATATAGACTCAAATGTTAGTTAAAATGGATGTGCCACTTGTTGATTTATCAAGTGAAAACACAGGAAAATGAAGCACTATGTGGTGGTATATAAGCAGCACGCTTTACTTTTTTTTGACTGACAAAAGGGATGACATCTCTCTCTATATAAATGGGAGATGCTTTAACAGTCTAATGTGATTGTCCTTTGTCTATTAACTTGATTGGTAAAGTTCTTTTCCCACCAAGGAGGACCTTGATGGGTCTGGGCTGATCTCTCCATGTTTCTCTGTTGTTGTTTTTTCTGCCCTATATCCTGCTAACTAAAGCAAATTCCTAGAACCCCTCCCACTTTTTTCAAAAAACCAAATTCCCCCATAGGTTGGTCGTGTGGTCTCCCCATCCCTGCAAGCTGCCTTTCTCAGTTGTATGGCTAAAGCAGCTAATGTAGGAAAAACAGTTCGCTCACTGAGAAAACAATTTCTAACAATTCTACCCACATTATTAGTAGAAACAGTTCTACATTTTAATGCCAGCATTTTAAAAATGTCTCTCTAGGTTGCCTTTCTATTAGTAAAGAAGGAACAAGCTTCTCTTTTCAGAACTGGACCTGTGAATCAATTGTTTCTGAACCTGTAGATGGGCTCAAATGTTTTGCTTAAATTGCTTTCATTTTAATTAATTTTTAACTATGTAAAACTATACAGTATATACAGTACCAGTATAAATCTCATTGGCTACCATCTTTTTATGAAGCTCTATGTGATGGTGTCAGCATCAGTGGCAAATTGCTGTTGCTTAAGGTGATTTTGAGGTGCACACAACTCATACATAAAGAGATGAGGTAATGTACATCCCCAAATCTCCAATATAAGAAGCGACCCTGCAGCAGTTTGCTACTACTGCTGTGACATCACCACCATTGTACATATAGATCTGTGCAAGTGGATTCTACCCATTAAATCCAAAAGTTTGCTCCTACATAAGGAAATAATGGGTGGATTTCACCTGGAAGACCCCTTAGAGAGCCCTTTATTCTCATCTTATTTCTCTCTCATCACATGCATGGAGAAGACAAGGGAGGGAGGGAGGGAGGGAAGGAGAGAAAGAGATAATTATTTCATTTTATATTGCCACTCTCAAGCAGGTAAACAGCAAAGTGCAATTATAAAATACATGGCCAGTGCCCAAGCAGTCTTTGACATTATGGAAACTGCCATCCAAAGGAGGACTCTACCTTTGTGGTCATGTATGAAGATGGACACAGGATTTTATAATGGTCACTAGAGTTTCCACTCCTTTAAAAAAACTGCTCAAACTATTGATGTCACATAGCATTGGAACATTGATGGTTGCAGCCTGAAACTCTTAACTGTTAACAATAGTGCCACTTAGTAAGACTGCATATGGTGTATATATTCAAAAATGCAGAAATAAATGGGTCACTCCACATTTTTCAGATGGGAAGCATTTTCTGATTAACAATTGACAGTTTCCATTCCCAAATGCAAATGTTGGCTGTGCACTGCCCACCTCTCTTCATTTTAGGCCCAGGCAGCAGAAATATGGAGGTGTCAGCTGGGAATTGGAAAGGCTTATCCAGGGGAACAGATAAGATGACACACCTTGTGAACTCACTATTGATCAGATTAAACCTGCCTAGCTCTAGAGGCTGTTCTATGGGATCACAATCTGAAGTATTTCATTCCAAGAGCAATTGATATTTCCAGGGTCTTCTTCTTTTTTCTTATCCTATAATAATAGCCCAGTGGTGTACGCTGGAGAATTTAAAGTAGCATTTGATGTTTGGGAAGCTCTAAATTTCTATGCTCTACAGAAAACAGAAGGCTTAGGACATTAAATTTACAAAAAGAAGACTGACAAATGGAGAGTCTCCCTTAATCTTAGCACATCCAGATGTGGGTTGGAAATTCCAGACCTAATGCAGCATGCCAAGTACCCACCCATAAGCACCGACGCTCTAGCTTATGATGGCTCCATAGAGAATATTTGCTTACCATTCATTATCTTTCCTATTTTAACCAAAAAACATGCAAGAAAGTGCCTTAGTTTGTGCCATGAATTGCTCAGTATGTCTTCAGGTAAGTTATTCATTTTCTTGTATATGTTGCCAAAAAGGGAAATAACATATCCTAGAGATATGATAATTGACATAGATGTACAGGATAAGATGAAAATCGGAAGGAACAAAGGCAAAAAGAGAATCATATAACTTAGGCGTTCATTCTCATATGTGAAACTAATCCACTTCACCAGCAGATGAGTAAACCAGGCCATAGTTTCTTGTCCTATTTCCATCCACTTTTTATCTGGGGGGAAAAATAGACAATTTATCATGGTAAGCAGGTAGCCTCCCACTTACATTATATTCCACATTAAGTGAGAACCACTTTTATTTACAGGGTATATGGGATCGATTGAATATACATCTAAGGCCTAAAAGTAATCATGAAACTGATCTAAATCTGTGTGTAGCTTAACAACAGGATAAGGTTAAGGGAAGCAGCAATGTTTCAACTGTAATATAGGGAGCCAATTTATTGTTATATTTTGGATTGAAACCGTACATGAAAGGAAGACTGTTCACACAACCAAACTCTCTAACTCTCCCCCAACACCAATCTTTTCTCTGAAGTTCTGGGCTTCCAACAAAATATTTCAAGATGTTTGAGGCCTATCCTGAACAGCATGTGTTTTGTCAGGGGAGCTACCCTGAGAAGAGAATTTAGACAAGTGTGGACAGAAAAAAAATTGTTCCCAGACTTGGTTGATTTTCTGTCCCTAGTGTATCAGTAGTGGTGCCTCACTTAACGATTACCCCGTTAAATGATGAATCTGTTTGACGATGAGGTTTTTGCGATTGCTTTTGCAATCTCAATACAATGTTTCAATGGGAGATTTTCATTTGACGATGATCGGTTCCCTGCTTCGGGAACCAATTCTTCGCATTACGATGATCCAAAAATAGCTGATTGCCGGGTTTCAAAATGGCCACCTGCTGTGCAAAATGGTTCCCCGCTGTGAGTAGGATGGTTTTTTCATTTTACAGGCACTGGAAAGTGGCTGCCCTATGGAGGATCTTTGTGTAGGATGGTTTTTTCACTTTACAGGCACTGGAAAATGGCCACCCTATGGAGGATCTTTGCTGGACGATTAGTTATTTAGCCCATTGGAACAAATCGAGTGGTTTTCAATGCATTTCAATTGTTTTTTTAATTTTGCTTTACGACGTTTTCGCTCTACAGTGATTGCGCTCCCAGCTTGACGACGATTTCGCTCTACAGCGATTTCGCTGGAACGGATTAACATCGTCAAAATCCATGCTCCAAATAAAGTCCTGAAAGCTTTACCAAGTAATAGTAGTAATAATAGTAAAATCACATCTATTCAAGGAAAAACATTAAGACACAATAAATAATCACTACTAAAATCAGACATGGGTGTTTGGATTTTTTTGGACTGCAAATCTCATACAGATGTGGATGAGATCCTACCTCAGTGGATGCTGTTCTGTCCCTTCAGCACTGCCTGGAGACTGTACTGCAATGGATGTAGTTGAATGGGTTGAGGCTGAACCCGGACAAGACAGAGGTCTTGAGGGTGAGTGGCCCTTCCATTAGCGGTATAGGTGCCGCCCTTTCTTTTTTTGGGGGGGCGACCCTTACCGCAAAGAGTGAGGTCCGCAGCTTGGGGATACATCGGGACCCCGCGCTTACCATGGAAACCCAGGTGGCGTCCGTTGTCTTTTCCGCTTATTTTCATCTATGGCGGATTGCTCAGCTGCGACCATATCTTGATGAGGGGGCCTCACTTCTCTAGTCCGTGCACTCGTAATCTCGAGATTAGACCATTGTAATGCACTCTACGTGGGGCTGCCTTTGAGGTTGATGCGGAAACTTCAGGTGGTCCAGAATGTGGCAGCAAGGCTTTTTAGTGGGGTGAGAAAATATCAGCATATCTCCCCCACTCTGGCT